GCAAACTAAAAATTCCAGAGTTGAGCCGGCCCACCCCCCCTTCCCTCCCCAACCCGTCATTCTCCTCAAGCAGGCTCTCTGCGCTGCTCAACGTGATAGGAGGGCGAAGCCAAGCTCTTGCAGAAAGGTCGAGTTTAAAGGATGCCTTTAAAGATTAAAAAGAGGGGGAAGGAGAATCTGCACGCAGTCTGGTGTTGTCAAAGCTCTCGAATAGCGAAGGGTGGAAAGAGACAATTGCAGGACTCCAGACCCAGCTGTTTATAGCCCTGTGTGTGTGTTCATGGGGGTGGGTAGGTTTGGGGTGAGTGCAGAATCCTTCCAACTCTTTGAACATGTCTAAGATGATAGTTTTGACAAATTACTTTGGAGGTGTGCTTGTTCTCCAAGGCAGTCAGTGTTTCTGGAGACATAGATGATTCCAAGTCCTTCAGATGTCCTTGCATCAGGAACAGATTTTCAGCATTCTCCCCCTCCCAAACACTAACCCACCCCCATCACTCTGCCTGATGGATTTCTCCAGCAGTAGGATTTTACTTTTCTGTTAACATTTACTCAAGGCTATTCTGTCTTGTTTTCCTAAGGAAAGTAGATATTTCAACCATAACACAAGATCCTCTTTGCATTATTTTAGCTTGGGGTTGGCAATGAGGTTGGGAATTGAGTGAGCACATTCTGTCTCCTGAGATGTTTGTCAAGGGGTGGGGGGGGAGAGATAGGGAATGGGGGTGCTGAATTGAGGCAGACTTCTCTGCAGGTACGAGAAGGAGCTTGGTTGGTGCAAGGGAGCTAACTGGAGGAATGCAATAAGGTGATATTACTGGATTATAAAGGAGTTGTTATTCTGTTTTGCTTGAAGGGTGTCCAAGGGTCAGTCCCCAGTTACAGAACAAGCTAGCCAGCCAGACTACATAACCCAGATAGACAAACAATCTGTCAATAGAAAGTCCTTCTGTATATATGATGTGGATTTGCAGAAGACCCTTGAGAAGACCAATTATATCTGCCCCCCTTCTTCATCTATCCAGAGGAAAATAGTAGTTGACTACCGGGCATCTCCAACTTCAGTTGAGATGTGAAGTCTGCACCTGCTCAGGACTACAGGGGAAGGCTCAAATTCTCCAAGGCATAAATTAGGGAAACAAATCATTGTATTTGGAAAGCTAGCATACCAGGAGAAAGTCTGAGTTGGCTCATCTCCTGTATGGATGAGCTCATTATATGGATGAGCCCTCTGTCTAGCGCAGTGTTTCCCAACCTCAGCTTCTTTAAGATGTGTGGACTTCAACTCCCAGAATTTCCCAGCCAGTATCTTAAAGTGGGGACTGCTGGATGGGGAATTCTGGAAGTTGAAGTCCACATATCTTAAAGTGGCCAAGGTTGAGAAACATTTGCCAAGCATTTGAAAAAGCACATAGCCCACAGATCTTACTGGCGCTGAAAAAAATGGGCCATTTTCAAAACATGTAAACGTCTTCTTCCTGTGAATGTATATTTCGTTAATTAGTCAATCTTAGGAATCCTTTTTATGTTACTGAATGTGACAAAGCCTCTTTTTCATGGTACATGGAATATGTGTGCCGTGCTGAAAAGACATGACCAAAACAGTAATTTAGCCTTTCAAATGGTGTAAATAAATCTGACATTACTGCGGGAAATAGCTAAAGTCCACAGAGGTATCATTTTGTGGTACCCACTATAAAACAATGTTTTGCTTTATTTTTTAAAATGTGTATCTCTCCTTTCTATCTATGGATGGTCAGGGAATGGTAACATACAAAGTAACAATTTAAACATAAAAGCAACCAGGCAGAAAACTTCAATAAAGCCAACCACCAAATTGCAAGAAAAAAAGCAATTTGCAACACAATGTTGACCAAATTGCAATATTTATGGTAATTATACGTCGGCGGATTCAGCCAACAACCTGTCTGAATTGTCACATCTTTGTCTGCCAGTAGAAAGCCATCAGGGAAGAGTAGATCCAGTCTGGAGACCCAAAGATATGTTGGGGCAACAACCCCCCAGAAGTTCCAGTAAGCAGGGATTTGGCTGGGTTTAAACAATCTGCCCTTGGCAAGGATTTGCAAAGCTCAGAAGCTGCTACCAAGGAAATCTCTCTCCTATTCGTTCTCTCTCACTTGCTGATTGACTTCTCAGTGTAAGATTTATTGGCTGGTTAGAAGAATATCTAACCGTGCTCTTCTAGACAGTGGGCAGATAGTAGATAGTAGATATTTTCTTGATTTCCCACCAACTATATATCAGATATTAGACAAAAAGGCAGGCAGACATCTTCTGGAGATCTTCAAACCTGACCAGGCGAGTAGGGATCAATTCTACTTTTATGGTTTGAATCACAATGTGTATTCGGTTGCAGGTTGGAGGGAGGAAAAGACAGAGGAAGGGAGGGAGGGAGGGAGGGAGGGAGGAAGGAAGGAAGGAAGGAAGGTCTCTTAAAGTATGTTAAATGGGTTAAATCCAAGTCAGATTGTTTATTCTGTGAAATAATAATTTTAAAAAAGGAAAAACAATCACAGAAACAGTATCTGAAGTTGGCTGGTGAAATCATAGGCATCTACCTACAAGTGGAAATCCATTTATTTAAGTGTGTGTATGTATTGCTTCATGGGGTCTTTTTTCTCTGCTAGTTTTAAATAGAAGTCTTTGCTGCAAATCCAAGGTGTCACAGGATTACAGGGAGATGAAACAGAGAAAGTTTTCTAGTCACTGGAGGTGCTTAAGTGTTGAATTCCATACTGAAAACTTGCTTGTGGTATGAATCCGTATTTGGCTATATGGCTAGCTCAGTAGAAATACAGGAGACAATTGTCTGAGGAACCAACACTGTAGATTTGCTTATCTTAGTCATATCAACATTGCAGGGTGGAATTTATGGAGAAATATAGACAGGTCTTTCAATAGCTGCCATTTTCCAAGATGGCAGCCTCACAGGTATGAGTATATGCAAGGATCCATGAATTATTGTGGGCTGAACGCTTATCAGTGATGAGATAAGATACATGGTTTTGGAGTCAAGAAGCCATAAAAATTATTCCAGGTTTCTAGTGGATGAATGTTGTCTGGGGAGTGAAGTCCAGTTCCTCTGAACAGAACCCATCTTGAGAGAAGCTGGACTATCTCACCTCTTCTTGTGCAAGTCAAAATCTAGCTCTGTCACTTCACAGAGGAGAGAGCATTACATTATTGCAAAGTTGAGTACCCATGGCAGGATTCAAGCCGAGGGTTGTGCTGAGTACTAGGTTAAATTTAGGAGATTAAGTTGCTTCTCCCAAATCTATATTTCTGTGATTTTTATGGATTCTATGAAGTTTGCTCCAGGGCTTTCCACATCTTCTCTTTTGTCATCTAATCAGAACATTAATTCAAATGCTTACTAATGTAAGACAATAAAAAGCAGTGTTATAGTTGCTTTCCTGGAGTGTTAGTATCTGCAAAAATGGATGTTTTTAGAAGTGCAGTGGCCTAAACGATCCACTTAAAATTCTCTTCCAGAGAGGTGACAGAAAATTAGCGAGGCGGGAATTGTTTTGGGGAAGTAATCTGATCATTTCTTCATTAAAATTCTGTTAGGTTTCCCATAAAAGAAGGGGGCTTCAGAACCAGAGAGAATTAAAATGCATTCTGGAAGGACTTCAAAAAGAAAAAAGTCCAAAATTATCCACAGCTCCAGGTGGTTTGTTATTTTTTTTAAATTACCACTCTGTCCCTCCTTCAAGCTTTAAATAAAAAAAAGTTGCATTTCTGTTCAAGCTGCTTGAAAGTGGCTTATCCTGTTGATTGCTTCAAGGAATCATCCCAGTTTTGGATTTCTAGTTTACATTTTATAAAGGGGCTTGGTTAATTAGCTTTAGTTAATTGTTCTATGTCTTTAATGGATGTTAGCTTTTCCTTTTGCACACAGACAATCCTTTTGGTCCATTCATTAATATTAACTGAAGCTGGATTTGGTAGGAAGGAAATAAGGTGTGTTGAACTCTTGCCCCTTTTTAAGCAACACTTTCCAGAGTCATTATATAGGTGGGAGCTGATTACCAAATTATAAGCTGATGCAACTTAGAAAAATGTCAAGTGAGAAGTCTTTTTTTTTTCCAGTTTAGGAAATGACAAATATGGGAATTGAAATTATGCGTGAGAAATGGAGAGAGAAAGATTTGGGTTAAAAAAAAAAAAGAGGTATTTTTCCCAGTTCTACAGATGTGTCTGGCAGAAACTGTTCGCTGTACAGATGTCATCATTCAGGTGGATGGATGAATTATTTCAAAAACGTGCAGACAGATTGAAATACTCGGATCTGTCTTCTGAGCTGAAAAGCATACAACCCTTGATGAAGTCATCCATATATATGATTTGGGTCAAACGTCATTTGAAGGAAAGCGATGGTTTGCAAAATGAGGAGAGGGCTGAAATAGATGGCTTCTTTATCTGGACAAATCTTGTTTCCGCTGTTAGCTGGGCAACCGTTTGTTTTCAAGGAAATAACTCCAATTAAGTGTGTTCAGAACCTCATCAGAATTATCATAGTGCAATTCAGTTATTCTACCTTACTTCTATAAACAGCATTCCCAGAATTCCTGCCATGCCTATTTCTTGACCTGGCCTATCTCAAAGAGCTGACATAAATCTGGAAAACCTGTCCAAGTTCCTCTGTGTCCCATCTTGTACCAAACGAAACCAAAGTGGGTTTATTTTGAGTTTCTTTCTCATGCTTCCTTCTTTCTTAGAAGATTCTATAATCTGTTCTGCGTGTCCCCCCATACCTGCTCACTCCTTCCTTCCCCAAGTTCTACATTCCTTTCCACTTAATCGCTATGCCACCTTGGCCAAAATGATGACTTTTTAAACGTGCATTGGCTCATTTGAAACGGTTAGAACCTTGATGACTATAATAGATGCACTAAAAAGGGGAGTTTGCTTAATTGGTTGCAAAGCTCGTGCAAGTCATGTGCCCCCAGTAATATTTTTATTTTTATTTTTTGCAGGAATGTAAGTTCGGATGGCGCTGAAGCACGCCGAAGACTCCGGGAATGTGAAGGCTTAGTGGATGCTCTTCTTCATGCTCTGCAGTCTGCAGTGGGCAAAAAAGATACGGATAACAAGGTAATCCCCTGGCTCCATCTTCTGAAATGGAGTCATACTTTGGAGGAGAAACCCTTGCCTTTCTTGCATGTGAATTTTCTAGAAAGTAGAAGACATGGGATGTGCTGAGGGCATATGATCCCAGTGATACCGTTTATTTAGATTTTTCTGCCTGTTGGATTGGGGATTGTGCTGACAAAGGCTTCCAACAGCTTTTGCTGACCTTGTGCTCTCAACAGAGAATCTGTTGGCTTAAAAAACGAGCAGGTCTTGCTTCTTAAAATTTCGGCCCTCTCTTATGAAAAGCTCATTCCTTTTGCACATCCTGATTTGCCACAGTTGCTTAACCATGATTTGCTGAATAAGCCACAATTGCCAGGCTGGATCTAGCACATTCAGGCCTAAACAGCTAGCTAAGGCAAAGTCAAGCAAATCACATAATGATTCAGTGATGTGTGAATCCTGTCATCTCTTGCAGTACAACTTACTCATCTGTCCTAGAATTTTGGGGTCTTTTCTCATCCCATGTTTGGGTAGATTTGATGTACATGTCTTCTCCGGGCTTAGTCGGAGTGGGGGATGATTGAAGTTGAAGAACCTTTCTATACGAGCCATGGGGTCTGACCTGAGATAAGGCCTTTGCTCTAAAGTCAGTTTGTTCCAGTGGTTTGACTGTTACTTTGAATCAAACCACTAGTCCAGGGGTTCTTAAACTTGGGGTAATTACCACTGCTGTAGTCCATCTCTCCAAGGTTTCAGACAGAGTCCTTCTCCGAAGGTGTGCAGAATCAAGCTTGGCGAGTTCTACATACAAGTCTTATCCTCTACTGCTCAGTTACTGGCAGTTGTGCCTCTGTGTTGAAGGCACTCACAGTTTGTGAATAAGTATATGTTTTGTGAGGAGGGCGGGGTTGGGGCACATTCCAGCAAAGCTACCATATGGAATGTAGAAGCTTTTGCTGCTGTTTCCAGATTCTTGACAAGCCCTAACAAATTAAGCTGCACTATGGTCTTTCTCTTTTTGCCATCTGCAACTCATTAGCTAGAGATTGAACCTGGGGGAGGATGGGTAGGGCTCCTACACCCCATGTAGGCTTTCTGGCTTTGAGCAGTAGCGCAGATGCGTGTTGTAAAATATCATTTTCCTCTAGCTACTTTATAAATTGTGAATATTTGCTTTGATGGGTTTTTCCTTTATTAAAATCTAGAAGTCACTCATCCATTGGCCTGCTACGTTGGTTGCTCCATTTGGAAAGGTAGCAGGGAGTGGAAAAGAGCCTTCTTCGGCTTGAAACCATGGAAGGTTCACAGCTAGCCAGAGTAGAAGATCCTGGGTTGGGTGGAGAATAGTTGGATTTGGGTGAAGGCCATGATCCCTGCCTTTTCAAAGCTTTTGCGACATCTCTGAGGACGTTTCAAATTGTGATGGTTCTCTGACATCTTATATCTTTTTCTTTGGGAACCACCTTGCCTCAGTCGGTAGAGAACTGCGTCTGCATCATGAGGAACCTCTCCTACCACGTCCACAAAGAAATTCCAGGAGCCGACAAGTACCGAGAACTAGAAAATAGCCAACTGGGAAGTCTGGGAGGTTCTCAGAAGAAGAAGAAAGATGA